CAGCCACAACTGCCAGAAGCAAAGAAAAACCCACAAGTAATAAATAGGGGCATAAATTCTCGGGATTCAAATATAATTTTGCCTGTTAATAAATCGCTGGTAAGACCACACCTTGAATATGCTGTGCAATTTTGGGCACCTGTTCTAAGGAAGGATATCATGGCACTAGAAAAAGTGCAGAGACAAGCTACAAAATGGATAAAAGAAATGGAGCACTTTAGTTACGAAGAAAGGTTAAAACATTTTAATTTCTTTAGTTTGGAAAAACGGCACCTCAGATGGGATATGGTAACATTATACAAATATATCTGGAGCCAGTACAAACCATTATCTGGAAATCTATTCATAAACAGGGCTATACATAGGACACAAGGTCATGCATTTACGCTGGAAGAAAGGAGATTTCATCTAAGGCAAAGGAAATTTTTTTTTTTACATTAAGAACTATAAAGATATGCAATTATCTGCCTGAAGAGGGGTTTTTATCAGAGTCCATACAGATGTTTAACAGCAATTTTGATAAATACTTTCAAAAACATAACATACAGGGATATCATTTCTAATTAGTGGGCTAATAGCTGCTTGATCCAAGGAGATATCTTACTGCAATTTTGGGGTCAAGAAGGAATTGTTTCCTAGTTTGTTTCAAAATTGGAAGTGCTTCAGATTGTGTTTTTTGCCTTCTTTTGGATCAACAGCAAAAACATATGTGAGGAAGGCTGAACTTAATGGACACAAGTCTCTTTTCAGTTATGTAACTATGTAACTAAGTAATATGTAACCTGAGGAGAAATACAGGCTGCTCTGGAAAAAGATGGTGTGGTTGTTTCAGGGAGCACAATATGACAATACTTGAACAAAATTGAGCTGCATGGTCGAGTTGCCAGAAAGAAGACTTTTCTGTGCCAATGCCACAAAAAGGCTGGTTATAATATGCCTGACAACCTCTTGACACACCTCACAGCTTCTGGCACACTGTAATTTGGAGTGAAAAGTGCAAAATTGAGCTATGTTTGGAGAAGGGTAAACAAGACCTATAATGAAAACCACTGTGATGCATGGTGGGAGCTCACCGGTGGTTTTTTTGGGACGAGTGAGGGTTAGCTCTAAAGGTACAGGGAATCTTGGGAAAATTGATGGTAAGAAAAATGCAGCATGTTATCAGAAAATAATGGCAGACAATTTGCATTCACGAAGGTTGTGCATGTGATGCTTTTGGACTTTCCAATGTGGCAATGACAATGGCTAATTAACATAGGGGCTGATGAAGCTGCAGCTCCAGGCCCATGCCCATGGAAGAGACCCATTGATAAAAAATAAAAAATAAAAATAATAATTAATTCTTCTTCACATGCTCTTGCTTAAGTATGGCAACTTAAGAGTGATGTAGGCGAACAAAACGTGTGAATTGGCTGACAATGAAATTAAAGCTGTCTGCACATTATGCAAATGTTCTTGCTACTTCAGTATCTTTAATACTGTGGCATGTTCTTTTTCTTCTACAGTCACTTTCCATCTGTCCCAGACTGTATAACAGGAACTTATGCCTCCTCGTAAGAAGGTTTGGAGAGGAGTGGGCCAGTTAGAGGGCACTCCTTAGAAAGCATAGAGCTAGTGCATCATGTGTCACATTTATGCCAAGCTCGGGGTGCTGTCTGCACAATATGCACTTTGTTTGTCATTCTGCATGATTGGCAGGCAGCTTGACACACATTCATCTAATTCATATCATCTAATTATTTATGCAGACATGCCCATCTTTGGGCATGTTCGCCCTTTTGGGTGGTTCTACTTATGTGATTCACATCAGTGGCCAAACCTTTTGCCCAGTCCACCAAAATCCTGCTTCACCAAAAAATGCTGTTTTTTGGGGGAATGGATTTTCTTGAAAAATAAAAGTGAGAGATTAGCACAGGGTATGTGTTTACTGATAGTTATATCCTGTGAGTTTCCCTTCAGCACCACCTCTACCAGATACATGACACTTGGGAGGTATAGCGGTTATATTGTTTTCTGTAATTACAGTACAATTACAATCTGTAATTAGTCCCATCATATTTGTCATCACCAATGGGCTTTTAATCTGGCCCTGACAATGACCCTAAGCACAAAACCAGGTTGATCCTCCAGTGGTTACAGCAGAAAAAGCTGACTTTGAACAAGGGTCATTAAATTTTTTTTTTGTTGTTGCCATGTTTTGTTTTATGATTGTGCAATTCTATTATAACGTACAGTTGAATATGAATCTCATAAGAAATAAAAGAAATTTGTTTTGCCGGCTCACTCATGTTTTCTCTAAAAATGGTACATGTACTATAAATTCTTATTATCAATTTAGTGTTATAATTGTAATACTATTTATATTCTTATATGGTCAACCTTAAGAGAACTGGTTATTATTATCTTGGAATGCTGCTATTAATATTAGGAAATTTTACCAAGTACATGTTGTAGAAGGATATATAAACACATTAATATTATAACAGATTGTTTTTTAATACGGGCACTTTAAGAGGACGGACATTGGGTTACCTTAGAGACATAAAACAGACAATGGTGGGAAGTCTCATTTATGCTTGACAAAGTCCTGAGAGGCGGGACAAAACGCGTAGCAACGGATTACATCACAACCAGGAAGTACATTGCAACACTCTGACATCAGAGATACTGGCGGGAAGATAATAAGAGGACACTCGGACCGATCAACACATATTATCCAGGACTCTGCTTACCAGCTTCTACAACAGTGAGCTTTCCATGCTGGTTTTATTTGCAGGTTTTAATTTACATTTGGCAATAAATAGAGTTGAGCGAACCCGAACTGTAAAGTTCGGGTTCGTACCGAACATTAGGTTTTTTTGGACCCCGGACCCGAACTGTATCACTGTATGTTCGGGTTGGAGTTCGGTATTCGTCGATTTAATAGAGCATTTTGAAAAGCTGCAGGGCAGCCAATCAACAAGCGTTTGACTCGTGTGCCCTTAGAAGCCACCACAGCCATGCCTACTAATGACATGGCTGTGATTGGCCAGTGCAGCAAGTGACCCAGCCTCTATATATAAGCTGGAGTCACGTAGCGCTGCACGTACATGCAGTCTTATTAGTGTAGGGAGAGGATGCTGCCGCTGATAGGGATAGCTTGAGAAAAAATTCTGCAAACTATTACATAAGTGGGGTGGGGTGCACTTCATATCTGAGAGTCAAATAGAAGCTTCAAATACCGCGGTTACATCGGAGTTTTAAAAAGTTAATTTTTTTTGGTGCTAAATAGTACATTAGTGGGGTAGTACATTAGTAGGGTGCACTTCATATCTGAGAGTCAAATAGAAGCGTCAAATACTGCTGTCACATTGCAGTTTTAAAAATTACAATTTTTGGGGTCATAAACTGCTATATAGTATTTTAGTGGAGTGCACTTCATATCTGAGAGTCAAATAGAAGCGTCTAATAGTGCGTTTACAGGGCAGTGGTAAACATTCTTATTTTCTGGGTGCTAATCTGCTAAATAGTACATTTTGTGGCCTGCTCTTCATATCTGAGAGTCAAATCGAAGCGTCTAATAGTGTGCTTACTGCGCAGTTGTAAACATTCTAATTGTTTTGCTGCTAATCTGCTAAATAGTACATTTGCGGCCTGCGGTACACTTCATATCTGAGAGTCAAATAGAAGCAACAAATAGTGCGCATACTGCGCAGATGTAAACATTCTGATTGCTTTGCTGCTAATTTGCTGCTTACATTGAAGTTTTTAAAAAGAAGTTTTATTTTTTTGGGGTGCTTAATAGTATATTTGGGGTGTTCACTTCATATCTGAGAGTCAAATCGAAGCGTAACTTTGATTCGAATTTACTACCTACAACACTTGCTACACAGATCTAAGTGATAGAAAACAGATTGATATTTTCTACACTAGAAACTACCAGATAACAAGCTGCTATATTTAAACCAGTTATCAATAGCTAAGAGGTACTTTAACAATATTGTAATTCTGGGGCAATACCCTCACAAGTCAAACTGAGAGGTCAGTTTATAGGGAAAACTGTTGCCTGGATACAATTCTAAAATAATTTCCATATGTCCTTTGCAGACTTTACATGCTGGAAAAACACAGGTGCCAACTGCTGTGGCTTTCTGCAGTGTGCATACCGGCAAGGAGGGCAGGGTTGAGGAGTGGGTGGAAGATGATGTGGAGGATGATGAGGTCCTAGACCCCACATGGAATCAAGGTCATGCGAGTGACGTGTGCAGTTTGGAGGAAGAGGTGCTGGTCGCACAGAGGCACCAGCACAGCATAAGAGGGAGCAAGGTGCAAAAGCAGCGGCCATCCCCTAGCGCTCGTTGGCATGTATTAGCTCGAGAATTACCAGTTATCCAAGTAATACATGTAGCGATCAAAGGATCCATAAGAGAGTTGAGCGAACCCGAACTGCAAAGTTCGGGTTCTTACCAGATTTAACGATCCATTCGTAGTTTCACAGTCAGGTGGGCAGTCCAGTAACCAGGACCCAGACACTGTCTGGGCGGAGGTCGGACAACCGGGACCCAGTTTGCCTGATGTTGAAGTTAGGAGTCACAGTGTGGAATGGATTAGCAGGGTCTGGTGCAGGGTAACCGCACGCCCCCTGGTGTTGAGCACCAGCATTTGTGTGGCCACATACCAGGACCTTGATGCAGCTTCAGTAAAAAGAGTACTTGATACCAGAAGCCATCACCAGACTGATCCGCAACTTGGAACAGGATGTGACATTCACTGTAGCGGCTTTTGGCATTCTCATCCTGCTGCTGCTCGCCTGTCTGCGCTGCAGCGTAAGGTCAGCCTTCCCACTCACCGCCTCATGAGACTATGCGAGCAGCAGCAGGCGATAGTGGAGTTTCAGCTGCAGCACGCATGGGTCAGTGGCTTTGCACCAGACTTCTCTCTAATTGATCAGAGTTAAAGGATTTCAAGTGAACTCATTACAATTACAGGCCCTCTAAAGAGTCCTGTATTGTTATTTGTTGTCACTACCTTCCCGCATTGGGAGTGGGTCATTTGCGCGCCTGCTGCCTTCCTTGCATGTGGTGGCTGATTCTCAGGGTCCCTGTATGGAATGGAACCCTGATTCCCCGTTACCTGTGGTCACCATGGTAGGCGCAGAAACTGGCATCGAAAGTTGATATGGATGAGATCCGCATGCAAAGTCTCCGCCACTGGGATGTGCGATTGACCCAAGGTTCTCTAGAGTCAACAAAGTGTCTGCGCAACTATGTCAACAGCTACTCTGCGGAACAGATTTGTCTTTTTTTATATGTCCCAATATTTTGGGGGCTACCCCAATTAAAAAAAAATATATATATATAAAAAACAGTGTTGGCTACCTCATCCTCCTCCTCAACCACCACGGTCACCGCCTCCTCAACCTATGGGTCACTTAGTATAAACTAGGTACACATTAGCAGAGGCTTGTGAAGGCCTTTTCTCCATGCATTAGGAGTTGAGCATTTCTTCATGCATCAGAACTGCAAGAAATGCACCGCAGGCCACAAATGTTTCTTTTTTTGTATGTCCCAATATTTTGAAGGCTACCCCAATTAAAAAAAAATATATATATATAAAAAAAAAAAAAAAATATTTGGGTGGGCCAATGCTCCAACAGCACTAGTTGCTGTGTAACAGACCACAATTTGGATCTGACTTACGGGTTTACTAATTGGCACTCACCTGTAGCTAGTCAATTATCAGACAGGCCTTTAAAAGAAGAGATCAGCCTGCTGCAGAGTGAGGAAGAAAAAGCCAGCTAGGAGAGCTGAAGGAGAGACAACAACAACAACAACAACAACAACAACAACAATTGTGTTTATTGCAAAGCCATTTCTTTTTTTTGGAAAATTGGTAAGTGGGAAAGCCACCCAATTACAGATAGTAATTCCTGTCTAGTAAGAGCTCAAGTAAGCGCAAGGAATTTTGTTTGTTTATTATTATTTAAAGCACCTGCTTTTTATCAAATAAAAAGGAAAACTGAGCTGAATGTGTCCTGGACTTTGTATACCCTAGAAGGCTGTGGTTACTGCAAGATCTGTGACAATCCTACCTGTAAAAGAGGTGGTTTGTTACAATATATATATATATATATATATATGTAAACAGTGTTGGCTACCTCATCCTCCTCCTCCACCGCTGCTTCCACCTACACCGCCACGGTCACGCCTCTTCAACCTATGGGTCACTTAGTATAAACTAGGTACACATTAGCAGAGGCTTGTGAAGGCCTTTTCTCCATGCATCAGGAGTTGAGCATTTCTCCATGCATCAGGACTGCAAGAAATGCACCACAGGCCACAAATGTTTCTTTTGTTGTATGTCCCAATATTTTGTGGGCAACCACAATTAAAAAAAATATATATATATTTATATAAAAACAGTGTTGGCTACCTCATCCTCCTCCTCCACCGCTGCTTCCACCTACACCGCCACAGTCACCACCTCCTCAACTTATTGGTCACTTAGTATAAACTAGGTACACATTAGCAGAGGCTTGTGAAGGCATTTTCTCCATGCATCAGGAGTTGAGCTTAGTTTGAACAATGAAAGAGAATACCCTGCACTCCAACCCTCTCTCAAATGGATAATGCTGGTGATTCTCCTGACAGCCATGCTTTAGATTTTGCTTTATGTTCTTCCAAAGCTAAAATCAAAGATTCTATCTAGTGCTATTTTATGGCTCAGCTGTATTTTTAATTTGTATTTTACTTTAAGTGATTTCCCTATCCACATTTGTTTGCAGGGCAGTTGTCCTACTCTTACCCCCGTTTTACTTCCTTTTGCAGCTCTCTAGCCCATTCCAGGAGTTTTTTAGAGGCATTTTTGTGGCCAAAAGTTCGGGTCCCCATTGACTTCAATGGGGTTTGGGTACGGGGTCAAGTTCGAGCCCGAACCCGGACTTTTTTTCAAAGTTCGGCCGAACCCGCCGGACCCGAACATCCAGGTGTCCGCTCAACTCTAGCAATAAAGTGCTTTCTGCTTTTACCTTCCGGTTGGTGATGACTCCATGTAACCCATAATACGATCCAACGATCTCAAGGGTTTGATCCTCCTTATGCTGGATAGTTTGGAATGGTACTATAACCACTCCACAATTGTGAGTTAAACATCTACAGAGTGTGTTTATTAAGATTGGTATACAGACTGTATTGCACTAGGTTTCTTTTTTTTATGTATTTATAGATACCTGTGACATAGCCATTCAAGGAATTACAAGTATATTTTGTTCTATTGTCACTTTATGTGGTTTGTGACACACATGTGGTTTTAAAATAATATTGCTATCCCACACTTAATTGTTTGGATGTCTTGGGAAGTAATTATATATTATCTAATTGATCTTTTAACTGTTTGCGCACCTACACTTTTTTTGGTTTACAATCTGGGGATTTATATGATCAGGGTTCCTTATAGGCTGTTGCACTTGTATCATTGTCACACAAGTATAAAGTCAACTTAATTTATTATAATTATTGCGCCACCCTAATCTACTTTTTTATACTATCAATTCTCCAAGTCTATGAAAACTTGTATTAAAAGGGAACAGTTTAGTAAAAGAGTGTTGCTGTAGTTATTGTACCAAGGGAACTTAATCATAGTACAACATTTTTACTAAAGTATTCAGATCAAATAAAAGCCTTGAGAAAAACACAATCTAAGAAAATAATGAAATACATCATTATAATATGTAATCCACATCTGGGGGTGATCACTGGGAAAACCCAAGTTAAAATAGGATTGTACATATTACTCCCGGTATGGGGGGACTGCCTGACAGCCCAGACAGTCCCTCCTCTGCAAGTTAGGCCCCCAGGGGCCATGTGATCATTCTGAAATAGGCGTCCATTTTATATATATTATGTCATACTAAGTGTTTATTAATATAAAAATACACTTATAATTAAATTACACACACACACACATATATATATATAACTATATATTGTGTGTGTGTGTATATATATATATATATATATATATATATATTATAAAATATAAATAATAAGTAAATAAAAATAAATAAAAAATTGTTAAAATCATTAAAAAAAAATTGTTTAAAAATGAGATATATATTTTTGTGCACGGGGCAACAAAAGCCGTATCTTGTACTTGATACCTTACTATACATGTAGAAATAAACAACATTCAGTTGTGGTGTGCCGAAACCGACTTATCGGTAAGCCTGTAAATAAAGTGGACCCACCAAGGTAGGTAATTAAAATAATTAAAAGGGGGAGTGGGTGGAGGGACACAAACGGAGCGCCTTTACATTTGTGCATGGGACAACAAAAGCCGTATCTTGTACTTGATACCTTACCATACACATAGAAATATACAACATTCAGCTGTGGTGTGCCGAAACCGATGTATCAGTAGACCTGTAAATAAAGTGGACAAACGGATGTGTTCCAAAAATAATTTTATTCAATAAACAATCATCATTATTACAACATAGAATGTTAAAACGCTAAGTGTTGGAACACTTGTCTAAATTCCTTGAGGAATGTATCGACACTAGGCTGTGGATTTCCAGTGCACCAATGATTTAATAATATGGGCAGCAATGTTCCTGTTGGAGGCTGCACCTATCCTGAAGGAGTGTCCAGAATAATGTAAGGGATTGAGACCTACTCTCATTAATAAGATTCTGACATAAAGCATGAACTTGCTTTTAGTGAGAATGGCTCCCTGTAAAGAAAGTAAAGGTTGACTTAGAGGTGATTGTAAGTTGCCTAGATATGTATCTAATGTCTTTACTGGACACCATTTATTAAACGTAGGGTAATAAGAAACATTTACTGTTTGACCTGGTTTACTGGTCTTAGTATGTTGCAGAGAGAGTACATAGTGGTCTTGATGTTTGACAAATTGTGATATTTTAAGGCATGTCAATCTACTGAATGCCCAGGCAGAAAGGCACGAATAAGCCTTTCTGCAGGGAAAATAAAAGGTTTTTAACATGGGGCCATAGTCCAGCGGCAGGAGGCAGGCAGTGGCGAGGTTGGTTCCGCCACAGTAACCAAGTTAAGCATCTAATAAAACTCATGATAACGAGAGAAGGGGAACCACCTTTATTAATGATATGACATGCCGCTGATTGTTATAAAAACAATTTACAGTTTGTGCAGACTGGGAGTGTCCCAGGCTGCTGCTGTTGCCACAATGGAATACATTTAAAATAATGCTGAAGTTAGATTAAAGGCTTCCAATGCTTCGGTTTCGGGTGGCCAACTGCCCCGTAGCCATTTGTCACCACAAATTGCTGCAAAGCTGGTGGAAGTTGCTGCATCTGACCAGAGCATTGGGGAATTGTTGGAAATTGGAGGGATGAACATAGACTTTCCATTCCATTGACATAGGAATTTATGCCACATCTGTAAATCTACTGTGGCCTGATAATCAAGGGAAACTCTACTGTCCACTGAGGAAAGACCTGGTAATAAACAGAGAAGTCTTGAGATTAATTACCTACCCTGAGGGATGATTCTCATTACAAAATTCAATGATCTGAGCAGTGATTGTATTTCCTTACGACTACAGGAACCCAGTCGCAAGTAATCATCAATACACACTAGGATATGTTCAATTTTATCCCTTGGCAAGTTGGATTCCATAGCCTCTGAGTCGAGTTGAATGCCAAGAAAACTCCTTCTGTTTTGGAAGGAGAAGCCGGGACACTTAAACTCTCAAACAGCTGTAAGGCATCCTGTAGACTATGTGGCGGATTAGCATTTTACTCTATGGTGAGAAAATCGTCTAAATAATAATAATAACAAAGTATTTAACCAGGAAAAGTACATTCAGATTACTTTGGTTTTAAAGTACGCCCTGGGAATGTTACCTTAGCCAATATCCAGGGGTTGTTACTATATCCCCAATTTTATGGTACTCATTTTATCTACCTCAGAAGCATGAATGGCTAAGTCAACCCTGCCGGGATTTGAACCAGCAACCCAAGGGTTGAATAGATTCTACTGATGATGCATTAGCCCACTGGACATTTTCATGAGTTAAGGAGTAACCAGCATAAGGCCTCGGCAAAAGTATCAAACATTTTTGGGCTACTTTTTGAACCAAACAGTCTATTGAAAAAATAATACTGGTCTCTCCACTTGATAAAGAAGTAACTTGAAGGCATTAACAATGTCGGTATTGCTCAACCATGCCCCAAGACCGGTGATATGATAGCTTGAATGGCATTGTCTCTCGTGGCATATTGTAGAGAGAATTCTTCTGATAGAATCAAATAATTTAAACTGGGGATGGTGGAGGAGTGAGG